ACCAAGAAAGCAGTAGGGCCAGGTGAAGACTATTCCCACAGACTAATATGGCTGTTCTGAAAAATGAAAATAATTAAAATTCTTGGACACCCAACTGTATCCTTTATAAAAGTAAATAATCATAATTTTAAGTATAATTCAAATAATGCTTATTCATGGTTTATAAAGGCAGATATAGATATTGAATTCGCTCCTTATTAAAGTATAATGTGATTTTTTATATCTTTATCAGTAAGCATACATATGAGTCCTGCTGAGCATGGTGGGTGAATTTGTGCATTGTGTTAAGCCATCATTTGTTTTACCATGATTTATTATATACTAGTCATCCCCAGATTACACAAACTATGACTTGCACAATCTTAACTTTAAGCAAGGGATCCAGCCACCATTTTGTGCATGTGCAAAAATGGTGAACAACATTATATATAAGTGCAAAATGGCAGTTGGTGTTTTTCACGTGGGTGGTCCATGATCAAATGTGTGCAAAAATCGGCTTATGCAACGGTTCTTGGATTGGAACCCTTGCATCAGCTGGGGCTACCTGGAAGCATGATTGGCTTGGTTCGCATAGCATGAGCAACTAGAAAGTATGGCATACTGTAACGGTCCACGAGATAAACCTGGGAGAGAGGAGGAGGAGGAGCCACACTAGGCAACAGTCGAACAAGAGATATCTCAACCCACAGAAGGAATAGGGATGTGGGAAGCATCTCAGAAGGGACCCTCCCTGTCCTCTGGAAAGTAAAGATAGGGGAGGGGAGAAGTGCCTTCAGATGTGCAAGATTCTGTTATTCTAACCTTACAGTACAGGGAATGTTGGTACACATGGTTTTGGTTTCTTGTCTGGACTACCTCAAAGGGCTGACAGATGCAAACCTCAAAGGCTGATTCATACAACATGCTAAGTCAAAACCAGACAAGCTGTATTACGTTTGAGTGCTATGTGCAAAGCCTAAATGAAGCTTTCTGCACCTCTAAATCTGTTGATCGCTAGAGATAAGCGAAGCGGGACTGACCTGCATGAGCAGCTTGCTCCAACATGACTATGGCCACTGACCGATTCTCAAGGGCAGGAGCGCATGGCATTCCTGTTCTCTGACTGTCCTGAAACCTCAGCCCCCCAGCCCCCCCCACCAGCCACCACAAAGGCAACCGCCTCCTATTTTGCTGCTAAGCATTCAAAGTAGTATTTCCTACTGAAGCGGTGCTGCCTATTTTATTGGATGCATCGTCTCCTTTCAGTGTCTAAAAGATTTGCACTGCCTGTCTCCACATAACATGCCCCGTTCAAAGCCTTCATCACTTCCTTCTTGTTTCAGTTCAATTCTGTTTCTCTTCTGATTCTGATCTGTGCAGTTCTGATACTCCCCTAACACACTCTGTCTCCATCACGAGGAGAGACCCTACAGGCTCTTAGCGGGAAATACACTTAAGTAACTTAAGCTTTTCTGTCACCATGATGTTTTCTAAACGAAGCTTACTTTTATTTTCTTTGTTGCAAGCGTCAGTATCGAAAATATGCTCATATGAGTTATACTCCTAATTTTAGTGTTCCCTTTTCCACTCTAGAAAGCTGTCTGTTATCTAATAACTAGTAGAGCTTACTTATGAGTAAAAAGACAGAGCTGGATTGGATGATTTTAAAGAGATCAGACTAACCCCCTTCTTGAAGACCTTCATAAAGTTATTACAAACTGAGCTTTTCTGGACAGCGTTCCAGTGATTTTCACCTACAATGTCATCTTTTATTTTTACTGTTATGGTATATGCAGTTGTCAAGTTATTTTTTATTTTTATTCTCTCCTCAATGGTATTTGCATTTTAATTTTCCTGTAGATGTTTTATTTTTTTCTTCTCTTATCTTGTACAGCACTGAGAGAGAGAATTTAAATAAATAAATAGACTCCAAACATTTTACAGTACAAAAATAACAAAAAACAGAGGTGAAATTATTACAGTAGACAAAATTCAGCAACTGTTATTGTAGATAGGATTCAGAACGGCAGATTGCTCATCAGTCAGGATTTACATTAATCTCTCATTTAAAAATATGAACTGCTTCCATGAGACAGGGCATGATCTGAAAACATCCTAGCACTGATGAACTTTGTGTGTATGTGTGTGCTCTTGAGTCAGTGTTGACTCCTGGCGATTACCTGGATTAGTCCCTGCAGTTTTCTTGGCAAGGTTTTTCAGAAGTGGTTTGCCATTGCCTGCTTCCTAGGGCTGAGAGAGAGTGACTGGCCCAAGGTCACCCAGCTGGCTTTGTGCCTAAAGTGGGACTAGAACTCACGGTCTCCCAGTGTAATGCTATGTGGGAATGACCTTGGGAGACTGGGTGAAGAGATGCTATCTGGTCTACCTGGGAAGGCTGACACCTGGTTTCTGGCCTGGTTCCTTCACCACTACACCAAACTGGCTCTTGGGAAGTAGGGAAATAATTACACCCACACATGAGGACATGGCAAAAGTGGAAAGAGTTACCTTTAGTGCTCAGGCATATAGCAGTGTAGAAAGCTGCGGAGTTGGAAAATGAAGGAAAAAACAGTATTTTGCTTGGTGTAGTTTAAGAAGCTTCTGTCTTCTTGACATTTTGCTGATTTTTTTGTTTGTATTTCGACCATCACTTTTAGTTACTCTTAGACTAAAATATTGTTCTGTCACAGCTCAGCAATAGAACAAGAGATTGCATTTTCCAACACTGGGATATTGTGACCTTTGAATGCCACAAAGAGGGTAGAATTTGTGAAGAGAAGTATCCTAAGGATCTCAAAAATCCCGAAAGCCTTTCTCTCATCTCCATGCTTTGGCCCAGGTGAGAATTTATAACAAAGATTTAGCTAGATTAAATATTTCCCTTCCTATTTGGCATTGATGGTCTCTTACTGCTGAAAAAATTCAAATTTTATCCAAACCAGCCATTATTGGATTTTCTTTTAAAAAGCAAGCTTTTAATAAACATAGTTGAAAAGATCTTGCTGATTTCCATATGCAGCCTATTTCATATTTCCACCAAATTCAGATTGGCAGCTAATGTTGTTCTGCACTAAAAAGCAAAATCAGTGCAACTACCTAACTTCTTTCATGGTAGATGATGAGTCAAAGTTCCATTTCATGACTCTTGCACCAGACTGAACAATGTGAGACAGTCAGGCCGTTTCTTCTGGGTTGGGCCCCCAAAATGAATGCTGTTGAATGAGCATATTTTGATGAACTAACTTTTAATCCATATACATGTCTAAGTTGCTATTATATTCTGGGCTATAGATATATTGATGGAGTGAAGGAATAACCGAGCCTGACAGAAATATACTTGAACTAAATTAAAAAGTACTGTACCTTCCTCCTATCATCCATCTTTGTTTCATTGATTACAGACCCAGCACCTGGATTAATCTTGGAGGAAGGCTGCACAAATGTAGTTTGAGAAAATGTAAACAAAATGGGATAATATCTTTATTACACTGCACAACTAATGACAAATTCAGTGGTGCATTTGGAGTAATGCGGGTGGCTAAAAAGCATTGAACATGCAATAAACTCAGAAGAAATTTTAACAAAATAATTCAATGCTTGCTTTTACATCCAATGTCCAGCAGAGGGGAGCAGCTATCAGCTCAGTTTATCATTTCACCATAAACATTTGAAGGTCCATCTGATGTACAGTAGTTAAAAAAAAAGAGTAGCTGTAGCAAATCCTGCATTTCCAGTACAGATCGAACTGTTTTGGTCAAAATACTCTTAAGAGTATAACTCTGTATATGTTTATTCAGATCTTAGAGCCACTGCATTCTTTTGCATTTATTGACCTTCTTTAAGCTTGTGCTGACTGACAATTCTAGGAGTTCTAACTACAATAGATCTATTCTAGAAAATAATACAGCAACATCTCCTTCTATATGAGCTGGATTCCTGATGACTGCACAGCTATATAGTTATCTTGGCAGCAACAGAATAGTGGTACACTACTGCCTTCTTTAAAATTTTCTCTGAGTTCTCACTTTAATTTACAGCCATAGGATTTCTAAATATTGCAAGGAGTTCCAAGTCCTAATCAGTTGTGATCTTATTTAGTTTTTTCAACAACAGCCAGGGTCCCCTAGTGCTGCCACTTAGGCACATCTGGAAGGTAAGGTACCAGATGCTTTCTGTTTGGTTAGACTATCTTTTCACAGTATTACCAGTTTATTTGTGCCTATGATCTAATCTGTCTGGAACATATTGGTTTGCTATCCAAATTAATCTGGATTTTCAAACCTTCCTTTTAAAGCATTGGATTATCTAACCTTTCATTCATTAATTCTATACAAATAAATGCAAGATTAACTCTTGGTATATGAACATACTCATTAGCTTTCTTGGAGCATTATGGGAGCAGTTTGCCATTATCTTCACTTTTTTTTAATGATTTCCCATTCGCTTACTATCCAACTCCCACCATTTTAATTTTGTGAGATCAGCAAGGTCTATTAGGCCAATGTTTCTCAACCACAGCCACTTTAAGATGTGTGGGCCTCAACTCCCAGAATCCCCCAGCCAGAATCCCCCAGAATCACTCAGCCAAGCCCAGCATGCTGGCTGTGGTATTCTGGGAGGTGAAGTCCACGCATCTTAAAATAGCTGAGGTTGAGAAACACTGTACTAGGAGATGCCGTCTAACTGGGATGCAGTAAAGGAAAATCGAGTTACATCCCTTCCTATCCCTCGCCTCCTTTTACTTGAACGGAATCACGTTATGCTAGGACAGATCCAGAGAGTAATAGGAAAATGCTACACCTCTCTCTCTCTCTCTCTCTCTCACTTTCCCTCCTTCCGTTTCTTATTGGTGGGAAGCGTGTTACGTAAAAGGCTCTCCGAGAAGAGGTTAGTAAAACACCGGAAGTAATACTGCAGCGCGGGGGACGGACGGGCAATGCCATTTGATGAGGGGGCGGGCCTAAGCGAAGTCCCGAGAGGAAGGGGAGAGGAAAGCCTATCGTGAACCCGGAAGAAGCTGGTTGACTCGAGCGAGGATTTTCATGCGGGAGCAACATGGCTGCGCCAGTAGGGTCTACTCTGCCGCAACCGGAGTCTCTTCCTCCGCCCAAGAAGATTGTAGCTCCCACCGTGTCTCAGATTAACGCGGAGTTCGTGACGCAGGTGAAGCGATGCGGCCGGAGAGGGGGTTGCGGTGGAGCCCCGGAGGGGGCGGGGGGTTGGGAAGGAGGGGTGCAGTTTCGCTTCGGTCGGGGCTTCTTGGAAAGCTCTTCCTCCTGGCTTCTCTCATATCTGGAAGGAGGTTAAGCTGGCTGCCGCAGGTTCTGGTGCTGGGCTAGCGGTCTAGGGAGGTCTCGTGGACTAGCTTTCCTCAACGCGGGACCCTCCAGGTTGGTTGCCCAACCAAAGCCAACGTTCACAGCCTAGCTTATGGGAGATGTATTTGGACGCATCCAGGGCATGAAATCGGAGAAGGATGTTTTAAAACCTGACTTCTGATGTCTCATGGGGATGTCTTTAGATAGTCGTGTATTATTTTGTTTCAAAAGCATGCAATTGATAGGAGGGTTTTCCCCCCTTTTCTTCATGTTTTTCAGCTGCATCTATATTTCTAATGCACTTACAGCAAACCAAAACATTGCTTTATTAATTATGATTTTTAAAAAAGAGAATCTAAGGGCTCACTTCTGCACGATGCATATTATTGCTTACCTTGATAGGATTTTTTGTGTGTGTGTTCCATGTAATAAACTTTTATCTGGTTTACACAACAAAGCTGCAATGATGTTGGATACTTAAGGGCTCACTGTAACATGTGAGCACAACCAGTGTGATTAGTTTATGGCTTAGCATGCTGTATGAAAACAAAACTATCATTCAACTCATCTTGAATTATTCGTAATTGGTTGTGTGAATTATTCATAATTGGTTGAATACAATACACAAATCAATTATTACATTAATATTTCTTCCAGAGGCTTACATTTGCCTATATAGTTTTCACTTCCCTTCCTAATTTATCCTCACAACAGTTTTACAAATCCAGCAAATTGTAGCTTTTTCAACAAATTTTAACCTAGTATTATTGTTTAGTGCAGTGTGTTTGCTCAACTATAGATTGAGCTAAGCCATGCTTTATGAAACAGAATAGCTAGGTTCATTATATAGCAGCACATCATAAACAGAAAAACTGTGTTATAGTTTAGCATAGTGTGTGATTTCAGCCAGAAATTGGCATAAACTTCATGGCTCAATGGTGATTTGAACCTAGTTCTCCCTGGTCTTAATACTTATCATGCTATTCCATTTCTGGGTAAGCAACATAATGCAAAGCACAGAGAAGAAGTAAAGGAAAAGAAAGCCAATAAAATAAAGGCATGAGATACAAAACAAACACATAGCTCAATGTAGTTTACACCAACACTATTTTTTCTACTTTTGCAAGCCATTTTTGCTTCTACCATATGCATATAATACTTCACACATTGTCATTTGTTCTTTAAATATCTGATTTCTCTCTTTTTGAGGACCTCATCAATTCCACTTAATCACATCTTTCTCAATCTTCGTTTCAATCCATTAATTCTTCTTTCATATATTTGTTTTGTGATTCAGTTTCTTCCATATGATCAACAGCCTTTACTTCTTTCATACTGGTCACTTTCATTTCAATTGCATTTAACTTTTATGTTTTTCCTGATGTTCTTGAATAACAAAGGAACAAGAACTTGCTCTTACACCAAGCTATTTTTGCTTTTGTTGACAAACAATCATTCATAAATTATATACTCCAACTCCCTGCCCAATGCTGGAATCCCCTGACAGCTGGCCATCCAGCCTTTGTTAAACAACTTGTGTGAAAGAGAGTCCACCACCTCTTGAGGCAATCTGTTTCATTGTTTAAAGCTCTCACTGTTAGGAAATTATTTCTGGTTTTAATTTAAACCCTTGTTTTAATTTAAACTCATTGTTTCTTACATCTTTTGGAGTAAATCTGAACAATTCTGCCCTTAGTCTGCATGACAGCCCTTTGGATGCCTGAGAAGAGCTTTCATATCTCCCAACAATCTTCTCTCCTCCAGTTGTTACGCCACACTCCTTATCAAGTGAGAATTATGTGCCCCCAAAGGCTAAATGCAAACTAATCCAAGAATGAATTACTAGATTAAACTATCTAATATGTCTTTATTTTGCTAATATACTTTTAGCCTGACAATGCAATATACATTTGACATTGTAAATACAGTATTTACAGTGTATCTGAATGGTATAATTCAATAATGTGTCCTTTTATTTTGCAGTTGGCAAATAAATATTGGGCACCGCATGTCAAGAAAAAGCTGCCTTTTGAGACAAAGGTAATTGTTTAAATATAATATTCAGTAATTCTATCTTAATTTGACAATAGATACTAGAAATAAATGGTTTTTCTTATTTAATTGGATACAGAGCAATAACAGTATCAATTTAATCTGATTTTTTTTGTAGTTTATGTATTTAGTTTTAAACAACATTGATTTCACTCTTAAAATTATGTTGTATAAAGTATAAACAGCTAGCAAAAGCTTTGATTTCTGAAAATCTTTTTTGATCTTTTATATTCTAAATGCATTCTTATTCTTTGTAAGACATTTGTAAAACTTCTGTAGTAATACAGTATTAACATTAATTGTAATGACAGTGTTAGGCCTATTTACTATCGCTCACTTAGTTCCTTGCAAATGCATATTATTGGGGAAAGGGAAATTAATTTCATGAAACAATGATTTTACTGTGTATCTTAATTTTTTTCTTTTTTTGTAGGTTATTGAAGATGTGTATGAAAAAGAAATCGTTAGGTCAAAGTATGTACTGTATACTGCATCTTCTGTATAACTGAGTGAAGACATATCCAGATCTGTTTTGAAAATCTTAAATTTTTCTCCTAAATTAAAGAATAATTGAGACAGTAACCCTGGTACCTTATGTTGTCAAACTGCTTAATATGAGTTATATAATAGATATATTTTATGCATTTTAAGTAATGAAGCCATAAGAAAATAATTACTTGATATGATATGAGCTTGTTTCTTCTATAAATTATATTGCATGGACAGTTTTATTCACTGTAATAAATGAAAGTTATAGGCCAAATCAGGCCTTTATGCAGCATATTTGTCTAGGAAATCTATTAAGTCACTTAGGCACCAGAAATAAGACAGCTGGATGTTTACTTCCTAGTACTAATGTTAATAAACTGCTGGAATAGCAAGCAGAAACAGTGGAATGCTTAGACATACAGTATAACCTACATGCAAGATATATATCTGTCCGGTTTCTGTCCTTAGATGCCATTGTAGTGTTCAGGATAGCATAATAACTATGTTGCAAGGAATTTTTCAGGTTCAGGATAGAGTTGTCAGCCTTCTGAGCAGAAATTGTGTACACTGCCCAGAGTTACATTCAAGTGAGATGGGTGGCTATATAAATTCAATAAATAAATTTCCTTCCCACAAAATGTATTTCCTTCCCGCAAAATTTTGCTAATACTACAGTTCCAGATAGCATAGCTCATTATGAGGGATACTAAAAGTTGTAATTAAGCAATATCTGGTGGCCCATGGGTTATACATGCCTGGTTTAGACTGAGACATTCCTCTTTACAAAAACAGTAAATGGTCAACTGATTTTGATGTGATAGCATTTTTTTTCTTTTCGTTTATTTCAGATTTGCTATTAGAAAAATAATGCTTCTAGAATTCAGGTAAGTATTTTTTTACAGAAAATAAATTTAAAGTATGAACGGATTATAGAATGAGCTGATACTAGCTCCAGATCTGATTACAGGTGATATAGTATAGTGTAATAGTTTGTTATGAATTCCTGAGTCAAAACTTTCTTAAGCTATTTACTTTTTAGCACAGCAAGGAGGTTTGCATTAGGGGAAAGGAAGGGTTGTGCAGTGTTATGGATTTCATTCCAAAATGATCCTTCAAAATCTACACCAGAGCAAACTTAACACCTCCCAGTAACTCTTTAAAGCAGCCACATCTTTTCCTGGTCTCACACAGCAGCTGTGGAAGAACTGGACCTGAAGTACTGCACAGTTGTAATGTGTACAATACATTTCTGTTCTGGTATCAGCATTAATTGTTTAAAAATACTGATGTATCCTATCATATCTATTACTTTGTATTTACCTATTGTTTTGTATAGTTGTTATCTAAATTTATGACAGATGTGCTTCTGAATGCAATTATGGAACCACCTTAAGTTGAAGTGTCCATAACTTCTCGATAGGGTCCCTTTTTTGGATCTGCATTATGGAGTCAAAGAGTGTTGTTGATATATGTGGTGTTTTGTTTTTGTTTATGCTTAAATTTGCATAGTATGACTTTCATAAAGCTTTTTTCTCTGTTACTGAGATGGGGCATTTCTTTTAGCTCGTAACAAATTGGAGGTGTGCTTGTTTTCTTCTTGCTGTACAGTCAACTTGAAGTAATGCTCAAACTCATATAATGCTTGTACTGGTATATTGTATGTATTGTACTAGTATAAGTAAAATGTCTCTGCCTTGCATTCTTCAACTGTTCCAATTGGCACTAATAAGTTTGCTGCAATGAGCTATGTTGGAAGGTAACACTGAAAGCTACTTACAAAGCTTATAGATGGGTTTTTCATAAAAAATTGCACTGCTGATCCCCTGATCAGTGACATACAAGACAGATGGTCACTCTTTTACTTTTACCTTCATTGCAGTCAGTACCTTGAAAATTACTTATGGGTGAATTATGCTCCTGAATTGTCCAGCAAGGCTTACTTGATGTCCATCTGTTGTATGGTGAATGAAAAGTTCAGAGAAAATGTTCCAGCTTGGGAGGTAATGAACTTCTGTTATAACAAGCAGAAACTTTGATTCTTAATTTTCATGTTTCTCCTTAACCACTTAAAGAGTTATCAAATGTCAGAGTATACAATACAGTGATTGTTCCTTATCTGAAGCCATCTGCCACTATATTTTGCATTGCTATATGCTTCTATTACAAAATAACAGTGGATAGTTGAAAAAGTTTGCAGTGGAAGCAGGAACAATGTGAAAAGAACTGTTTTGGCAGCTGAAGTCTTTTTCTCTGTATTGCTACTTAACAAAAGCTAGAATTTAATGGCAATTTTATCCTGTCAAACATAGTAATATAATTTTTCATTTGTATATGGTTACTGCATGGGAAATTAAAAGCAACTTCACCCTTGTTCAGCCTTATGTAATTGAACAGATGTATGCTTCCATGTTTGCTCACAGAGAAGTTCTTCTGAGCATGTGCAGATGGTCTGGGAAAGTCCTCAGATTGGCCTCACTTTAGGAGGACACAGCCACCTTGAGCTTTTGAGGAGCAGTACTTCATGTGGCATTGCCATAAGTGAAGCCCTCCTTGGAATGATTTGCACAGGACACAAAAAGAAAACAGAACACTGTTAAAATAAAACAGTCGAGCAGGAAAAGGAGCAAAACATTTCTGGTTCCCCAGCAGGTTGCCTCCCAGCATTCCTTCCCCTGCAGTCTGATGGAATGGATGTTGAAAGATGGCAGTGGAGGGAAAGGAAAGACATGGGGAGACTGGCCTTTCCTGCTAGCCTTACTTTCCCTTTTTACTTGCTGCAGCCTGAGAGGATGCTTGTGGCCAGGTAACAGTTGAGGGAGGAACAAACTTAGTGAGATGAATGTGTTAGCTGAGTTGATTGTGGCTGCAGACTCAGTGTTAAGTGCAGAGGTTAAGCCCATGTTATTGGCCCAATTCTCTGTGTGTTGCCCTTCCCTTGATCTTCACATGTTCAGCACAAGTTAAGAATATCCATTTATGTGCGGTTGGGAGCTCTCCTTGTCACAGGTCTGCAGCTGGCTATGCAGACCTTATACTTCAGCCTATGAGGAGCATGTTCTCATCTTTCATTGAAATAATAGAAATTAGGAATAAGATTTTTGTATTGTTATAGCATGTGAATATGATGGTGGGAACAGAGCTTGTATCGCTCTCAATTTTCCCCAAAAGATGTTCCATCTAAACTTTCTGACAATCTGCTTCTACTTCTGTTTTTTGGTTAGACATTCAAGAAGAAGCCAGAGCATTTTCCATTCTTTTTCAAACGTGTACTGGCTGCTTCCTTGGCAGAGAATGACAGTGAAATCACTCTGCAAGAGCAGACAATACTCTTGCTTTTCCTTGATCACTGCTTCAACAGTTTGGTAAGTTTATTTTTCAGAGATTGTTACAATTAATGATACTTTTCGTATACAGTGAAATACTGCCTATTGTAATACTAATTCATTACAGCCTCTTTCTTTGTCAGCATTGCTTGCCTGCTTTGTTGCCTATTTGCACTCTGTCATGCCAGTAATTCTAAGCTCTTGTTAACTTGTCATTTTAAGATCAGAAGGCAGCAAGGCTAAAAACAACAACAGCAACAAAAATCCATCCTCTCCCTCCAAACTTTTGCACTACAGGGAAGCTTAAAGGAATATTTTAAGGCACTGAAAGTAAATATGTTAGTAGAGTGGTCAAAGAGGTTGTGGAAATAATATAGAATCTAGAGCTTGGAAGCAAGTCAGGAATAGTAGAAAGTAGACTGAAATTCTTAAATATCTGTTCAGAATATTGACTTTCTTGGGACTTCTGTTCATGAAATTGTGCTTTCCTACTTTCCCACTAAAAGCTATTCTTGTGAGTCATAAATGTATCAGGTAAGAGGTGCAGCAAGAAAGGGAATAGCTAAACTTCAGTAATACAGTCTGCAGTATCCTAGCCTATATAATGTATCTAAACCTGTATAAACTCCCAAATTCCTTTCTAATTTCTTGTGACAGGAAGTGGACTTGATCCGAGGGCAAATCCAGCAACTCATCTCCCTCCCAATGTGGATGGGGCTGCAGCCTGTAAGTTGTCTAAGATAAAGGATTCCAAGTGTCCAGAACCTTGTGGTATAGATAGAAATGTTCATATCTATGATTACGATACAGGTACAGATAGATAAACTTTCTGCTTTTAATTTACATTGTCCTAAATCAGTGGTGACTTAAGCTTTTATAGACAAATGCCACCAATGGTTATTGCATACTATATGGTTCTCAGTGCTCCTTTGTATTTTATCCCTCTCCCCTCTCATGTCTGCTGAGTAAGGCACACAAAACTAAATTTCATTGATGGTGTCAACACACTTATGTAACCATAGTTTGTTAAATAAGTTATAATTGGTTTGTTCACACTCTGTGCTAAACCATAAGCCATTGCTTACGTTTCACATTGTCTTGGTTTACCTTGTATTATGGTGACAAACAAGTCCTTTTACTTATTTTTAAATAAAAATAGCAACATAGAAGTTAGGTAAGTGTGAATGTTGCAGTAGTGATATTCTGAAAAATTAAAGCACATCCCTCAATTCTAGGCTCGTCTAGAACTTGAATTGAAAAAGACACCGAAGCTTAGAAAATTTTGGAATTTGATCAAGAAGAATGATGAGAAAATGGATGAAAATACACGAATACAGTAAGTTTAACAGTTTAACAGTAGCAGCTCTTGAACTTGGGTGGAAGTTCATTTATAAACCATGCTGCAGAGAGAAATCAGGAGCTGGGCAGGCTGTAACTCCACATTTAATAGGATTACAAGGTGAAAGCATGTGCTCCATGGCCTAGTATCTTGCATCAAAGCCAGTCTAAAGAAAATTTGCTTTAGCTTCAGTCTTCATTTTCAGCCAAATGGCTCTGAGCAGATTGTAATTATCTGTTCTTATATAATAGACAATGTATCCATTCAGCAAAATATTTTTGCCTAAGTAGTTATTCAGGATGTACATAGAAATATGTAATGATTTGGAACTTCTCTTGAGAAAGTGAGAAGGATGGACACTGAGGTTTTTCTCTCTTCTGCCATTTCCCAGCAAAATTAAGACAAAGCAAAAATTTGAGAAAGCATTGTCCTTGAGATGAGCCTGAATTTTTACATCCTCTTTTTTCTTATGTTGAAAGATAAGATACAGCGGTCCATATACATGCCTTATATAACTCAGTGGTTTTAGTGTATTGTTGAATGTATTACACTGTGGATAGTTTATAAAACTTAGAGGAATTCACTAATGAAAGAAGTCCCTTGCTGCATTTAGTCTGGTTAGTTTTGAAAAATAGAAATATTTTAGAATGTTTAGAAAGGTAAACATTCAAGTTCTGGGGTCATGCTGTTGCTGGAGTATAGGCACAGAGTGGAGCACAATCATTATTTGACTTGCCATAAACTGCATTTACGGCAAAGCCATAGATGAGATAGGGCTATCCCTAGTTCAAATGACAGTTTATACAGAGTTCCACTGGCTTTTCTTTTGACTTTATATTGCAGGACATATCAGGAAAGAAAATTCCTTTCACAACTTATCCAGAAATTTATCTCTGTATTAAAGTCGATACCCATTTCAGGTATGTAGTTGATATGTGTGAGGCACCCTCTTTCTTTAATGTGTGGCTTAGTGAGCAAAAGTAGATTAGTAAGATTTAACAAAATATTTTTCTAAGATCACTTGTGGCCCATACATTCTTCAGCAGTGGACAAAGAATCCCAAGTAAGAAGAAAAAATGCTAAGGGGCTTAGTGTTTGTTTGTTGTCCTGAGCTCCTCTCCCTATTTTCTTGTAGCTGTTCTCTCAAATGGAGGAATGGGGCAAGGTTATTGAGAGGTCTTTAATTAGTGCCCTCTACCTTTTATTTTTTTTCTACTTGGCACCAAGCCAGTGGCTTAAAGCATGGAACAGGATTGCCACAGACCCAGAGTTCTATGGATGCAATGTTAGCTCTTCAGAGTAGTTTTCCACCCCCAATCTAGTGCTCTCCACATCTCCTGGGACTACAGCTTCAGCCAACGTGTCTAAAGCCTTTAGAGGGTCCCAGGAAAGGTTGGTGTATCCTGGGAAATGACTTTTCCAGATTTATTCTGCCAATCCTCACTTTTTATGAGAAGAGAAGAGCTGTATTCTTATTACACACTGAACCAGAAACTAATCTCTGACATTTTAGCTTTCTTGTTGAGAAAATCCAGCTTATGTGGTAAAGCTGTAAATGCAGAAAATGGGGTTAATTTAAAACTGTCCAGAGTTGCTGGGAGTTGGGCAGCATATAAACGAAGAAGAAGAAGGATGGCTTCATGCTCAGGGGGCCTTGAGGAATACAATAGTACAAAATATTAAACAAGGCAACTCTTTGCAGAAAGCAGATGAAGACTGAGCATGCTCAGTGACATCAAGAAGCTATTAAACAGTCTAAGATGTTCAATTCCCTTTTTAAAGTTTGCTTTATGAGGATAAAATACCCTGTTAAACTATGATAAAGTACTTGGAGATTATTATGAGCCATTTAAGATCTACTTCTTCTGCTTCTTTTCATTTTGGCCTCATGCTCTTTGACAAGCTTGCTATTCTTGAGGATATAGTCCTCAATCCAAAAAGTTTTCTGAATGTTTACTATAGCAATATATAATCACAAATATAATATTACACAGGCTTTGTAATAATCTTCCAACCCTATAGAGCAGTGTTTCTCAACCTTGGCAACTTTAAGATGTGTGGACTTCAACTCTCAGAATTCCCCAGCCAGACATGCTGACTGGGGAATTCTGGGAGTTCAAGTCCACACATCTTAAAGTTGCCATGGTTGAGAAACACTGCTATAGATTCATAGGGTTGGAAGGGACCTTGGAGGTCTTATATAACTGCCTGCCCAGTACAGGAATCCTCAGACCATCCTGGACAAATGGCTGCTCATTTTTTTCTTGAAAACCTTGAGAGATGGAGCACCTACAACTTTAGGAGCCAGGCTGTTCTACTACTTAACAGCAATCAGGTGCTATGGAGAATAAATCCACACCTTCTGCTCATCTCTTCATGTATTGGAAGACTGCTATCATGCCTCCGTTTAACCTTCTCTTCCTCAGGCTAAGCATACCAAATTCCCTTAAGTGTCTTTTGTAGGATTTAGTCTCCAACCCTTTACCATCTTTGTTGCTCTTCTCTGCAGTCTTTCCCATTCATCAGTGTCCTTATACATAACATTATCCTTTGATAAAATTCAGCCATGTAAGGTTTTTTTCAACTATAGTCCAACAGTACCCAACTAAGGCATGTTGGGCTACAGCTCTCCTCACCCTTACAAAGTGTGGCCATAGACATTTATGGGGAAACGGGGGAAAGAAGTTGGTAAAGGTTGTTTTTGACATTACTTTGTCCACAAACTAACTTTGAGAGTATTTCCAAGTGTAGCAATTTAGGAAATCAAGTTTTTTAATGGTGGAAAATAACATCTAAATGTAAGATTAGTATCTATATAAAGTGAGGAGATAGTATATAATTGTCTTTGTTTTCTTCTAGATACTCTCTGTATGGATAAAGTGCGTTACTGTGAAAGATTCATTGAATTCATGATAGATTTAGAGGTAAATCAATTATAAGGCAAATGCCAGTTCTTTTACAATATCTTCTAGACTGTAGCAAGTCCCAGCTTACTTACAGTCTTTTTGGGGTCCACCCTTAATTATGGAATCTCACTGGGTGATTTGGGGCCAGTTATACTTTCTCTGGATTTTTCATAAGGAGAAAAATAGAGAGAGAGAGTACTATGAATGCCAGCCTGAATTCTTGAAAGAAAGGTGGGGTAGAATTCTAACAAATAAATAGTTGAAGAGGGAAAGATGCCTTTTGTAAGGGTACTGATTGTCTAGCTTAGCATTACCTGCTCATTCACTGGGAGTAGCTTTTGTGAATTGTAGGCAAAGTTCTTTCTCCTCCCAGAACTAGAATATGTTTTGAATGGACTTTCAAGCTGTTTAAGTGCAATGTTCATTCTAATATTGTGAGAAGGAGAAAAAAATCTCTCAACTTACTATGCAATATGTGTAGTTTCATAAAATTATACCCATATTTTTTTTGGTAAATTATAGTTTTATCATTGTATTTATATTTATATTTTTATATTTTATATAAATATTTTATGTTTATATTTTTATGTATATGTTTTATCATTTTGTTGTTGTGTTCCTGATTCAAAAATATCCTTTTTGAAATTTGGTAACCAGAAGCGTGCATGCTGCTTTTAAAAATAGGTTAGGGATAAGAGGGATACACACACACACACACACACACACCAAACCCCCCCCCCCCCCAATATGGCACATAATTTTATTGCATCTATTTCATGAAAAAGAATCTTAACATTGGTCTTAAATTATGATTGACATAAATGCTAGTATTTGCTGCATTTTTCTTAGATTTCTTTACTATTGTTTTAAATGCTGAAATGGTTCATGCACTGATCATTACCAGGGATTATTCCAAGTGTTAATGCCTTCTTTTATTTTTAAAAAATTGAAATGCTTTCAGCATGTGAATTATAATAAAAATTATAGCAACACCCATTATAGAAATAATTAGAAACTAGGCCTGTATAGTTCCCAGTGCTGTATTGTAGTTTATCCCCCTCCCCTCTGGATTTATCCTCTTGTATTTTTTTGATGTAGTCTATTTTTTTGAGACTGGTAAGCTTATACTTAAGGGCTAGTATGACCCTGAACCAAGAAAACAGTGCTTGCTTCAGTTTAAGAGATATTCATTTCAGCTACAATCTTTATCAGATAATATTAATTCAGTTTCTATTACAGTTTTAAAAGTCTGAATACTTTATATCTGCATAAATTAGCCCATTAGAAATGATTGAGCAGGACATTTTTTTTTAACTCATCAGAGTAGATATTGCTAAGACTTATGAAAACTAATCACCCTTTTTTAATGAGCACTAAATCCTAACTAGTCTTCTAGTAATAAATGTGGTCAAACATGGACTTGCATAACATACTACAGTGTGACATTATCTATTTTAGGCTCTGCTTCCAACACGGCGATGGTTCAATACTATACTAGACGATTCCCACCTAGTTGTACATTGTTATTTATCCAGCCTAGCCAAAAGGGTCAAAGAGGGACATCTGTTCTGCCAGGTGAGGCTTGCTTTTATTTTACTGAATTTCTTTGAACATCATGAAGGATTGTAGTATTGCAACTGAAAGGTGAGAACTGGCAGGTGAGCATCACTTGCTGTTAACACTTGATAGGAATTTGGGGAGTTCAGCAGTTACGGCTAACCTTTGCTGCCTCTGATTGTTCTTGTGATGATTATAGAGAGAGGGAATAAGGTGTGCTTGCATTGTAACAAATAGGTTAAAGCTAATTGTGTTTGGATTATCAATTTTCAAGTTAAACATCCATTTTAAAACTACTTCCATGCCCTAAAAATTTAAAATCTAATGTCAGAAAGTTTTCTAAATATTTTGCATTGCCACATTATTCTTAAAACATTACTTAAACATTACAAACCATACCAAGTTAGTGAATATCTGAACAGTCAATAAACTGCACAGATAACATAATGTAACTTTCTTGATCTTACTGTATTTTATTTGGCTTTGCGTATTACTTATGTGACTTTTTTCAGCTTTTAGACATGCTCAAATTCTACACTGGATTTGAAATTAATGATCAGACTGGAAATGCTTTGACTGAAAATGAAATGACTACAATTCATTATGATAGAATTACTTCCCTCCAGGTAATTACACCTTCAGACTTCTCCAAGATTTCTATCAGTTTGCTTTTTATTAAAGATTTTTATAGCAGTCACCAAACTTTTTCTGTTGGAGACAGATTTTAATTATATTCTATATATCATTGATTCTTAGATATAAAGATAAAAGGATATGAAACTGAAAGCACAGAAAGTTTTGGAAATGCAAACATTTTTGTAGCATTACATTTCATAAGAAATGTATGTTGGTGCTTCTATATAATCTGAATCATACCTAGATACAGGCATATTCATAATGCAAATAGAGCCTGTGCAAGCTGTTTTGAACTACATCTCAGTTAAAAGCTCTGATTTATTTATTTTTATCCCATCACTGTCTCATGACTCTCAGCAGTTACATAATCTGTCATAATAAAAGTAATAACAGAATTAAAACTTTATAGAATCCAAATCACAAAAGGAAAATCAACATTAGAGATAAAAATAGTAAGGTTAAGGAGACACAGGTGTTGTTCCTGAAAGGCTCTTTGAAAAAGCTCAGTTTTTAATAATTACCTAAAAGCTGGCAGGGAGGCAGCTAGTCTGATCTCAGTGGGGAACCCATTCCATAGTACTGGCAGTACTATGGAGAAGCAGCACCTTCTAGCATTGGCTCCCCTGACACACCATAAATGTGGGAGAACAAGAAGCCCTCCTTGCATAATGTAACAGGCTGTGTCAAATCTGGTTGGAAGAGGTGGTGCTGTAAATTCCCAAGTGCCAAGCCATGAAGGGCTTTATAAGTTAACACCTGCACTTAAACTTGTACTTCGAACTGAACCAGTAACTAGTTCAGGGCCTTCAATGTAGGTATAACATTGAGAGCCAACTAAGACACAGGGCAGCACATTCTGGCCTAATTGTAATTTCCAGGAAGTCTTTAAAGGCAGCCCCATGTAAAACACATTGCAGAAGTCTATGCAGATGGTGATGAGAGTGTGATTTACTATCACTAGGTCCTCCTGCACCAAGTAAGGACACAATTGGTGTACCAGCCAAAGCTGGGCAAAGGCCATTCTAGGCACTTTCACTTGCTGTTCAAGGAGGAACTACAAGTTCAGAAGCACCCCCAAATCAGAAACCTGCTCCTGTGCAGGTAGTTCCTGCCTGTCTGTTCAGGGATAACACGGGCACCAAGGGAGAACCTTTGGTATACAAATAGCAACTTTATTTGTCTGGGTTTAATTTGAACCTGTTCTCTCCCATCCAGACCCAAACAGCCTCCAGGTATCTGAGTAGAATATCAGTAGCATCTACCCCACAGCCTGGAGTAGCAATATATACTTGGGTATACTGTACCCCAAATTTTCTGATGGCTTCCCCCAGTGGTTTCACATAGATGTTAAAAATAGGTGGGGAGCAAAAGGTGACCCCTGTGGTACCCTGTAAGTGAGGGACCACTGGGCCAACCTATCCTCCCCCGGACTGAGACTGCTCACAGAGAACAGACTGCAATAGACTGAAACTGTCTGCAGAGAAAGGAGCAGGACAATGCCTCCAGTACCACTCCCCATAGATGTAGATACCAGTAAGATACCATAGTCAGTAGTATCAAAAGCCACTGAAAGGTTTAAAAGAACATGGAGAGGTGCACTATCCCCATCCAGGTCCTTACAGAGGTCATCAAGAGAGCAACCAGTGCTCTTTAGGGGTGGGAAAGGGGACGAAGAGGGCTTTTTTCTGTAATATGAGAGAAGGTGTTAAGTTACTGTTAATGCATATACTTGTTTGGAGGGAGGGGGAAGTCATCTTTTATATTTTTCTTTCTTTCCCTCTCTCTCTCTTTCTCTCTTTCCCTCTTTTTCTTTTTGTCTGTAGGTCTCTTAGTTTTGTATTAACTTTTTTTTTTTTTATATATATATATATATATATATATATAAACTTTAATAAAATATTATGAAAAAAAGAGAGCAACCAGTGCCGCCTTAGTCCCATACCCAGGCCTGAAACCAGACTGAAAAGGGTTCGGATAATCAGTTTCCTCTAGGGTGTTATACAACCAATCCATCATTATTGTCTCAACAATCTTCCTTCAAAAGAGAAGGTTGGAGACTGGACAATAATTATTCAAAACAGCAGGATTGCGAGATGGCCTCTTTAGCAAAGTCCACATTATGGCTTCCTTCAAGGCAGCTGGGAGCTGGTCCTCATGTGAGGAAGTGTTGACAATCTCATGGATCCACACAGTCACTCCTCCATCCACCCTGATGGGATTTACCATTTTGTTTTATTTCTGCTTCTGCTAGAACATAATGTTAATTCTCATCTTACTGTTTTTCTACAAGATAAAAAGATTATCTTCATATTTCATAAACTACTTATTAAATAATTGTGATTGAGTTGCATTTTGGAAGAATAGCATCTCAATTTCAATTTCAGTAATTTGATGATTTTTTAAAAAATAATATATGGTAACAAAGTGTGCATGCTGTTTCCCAGATTAGAAGAGGATGTTAATCTATATTATATTTTATTATGTTATTATATTTTGTCATTATATTTTATTAATTTGGATGTTGTATATCACCTAGAGCCATAGTCAATTGGGTGATAAATAAATCCAATAAATATGTACTATAAATAAAGATGAAAGTGGTAAAATTAGCAATAAACAGGCTTATAATAAGCATTGCTTTAGTTGCTCTTGATATTTAGCTAATTCTTAGAGGTTTGCAGTTTGTCCTGTTAAATTGCAAATTATGTAGATGATAAGAATTTTTTATTCTAATCCTGATTCTTGGTTGCTTTTCAGAGAGCTGCCTTTGCACATTTCCCAGAACTCTATAATTTTGCCCTCTCAAATGTATCAGCTGTAGATACACGTGATTCTCTGATAAAGCTTTTTGGGCCTCTAAGGTACATTATCATTATCATTATACTTTGATTAAGTTTTTTTTTCTTTTTGTAGACATTTAATGGTAAATTCTTGATTTTCATGATGATCAGGATTATTTAAGCAATGACTGACCTCCTCTTTAAGCCAAAACCTGACTATTTTATTATATATTTTGGCTGAAATGATTGCTTAAATGAAATGCTCTGTGACCCATATTTACAAGCCCTACTGTTCAGAATATAACTGAGCTCTTGTTTGTCTATTTAGGGCAGCAGGTCAGTAGCTGTGTTTAAAAGGAAAGGGTGGAGAATATATCTATAATTTCCAAAAGGCATATCCTGTGTAAATATTTCTATTATTTGCGATGCACAGGTCTAGTGCTTATATGCCCCAAAAGTAGTGTAATTTATCTGCTGGTTTTAAAAACAATCTGCATGATAATGGTCTGATATGCCTGTAATTCTTAGCCACAGTGTAGCATCTCACATAATGTGCATAAGCTGGAATATGTTCAAGTAGATCTTCCCATGTCTTCCATTGGCTGGAGGACTACCATTATACAAGATCTGGCTTGTCTTTACAATTGAACTAAAAATGGTGGCTATAACTCTGGTCAGTTTCAAAACTAGCTGTATACACTAGATTCATTATTTCTGTTTTGATTAACCAGCAGTTGTTTAAACATACTGCCTTCTGTTTGAGCATAATGGTAAACCAAGATTTGCAACAGGTAAATCTTAATTTGGGAGTCCTTCCCTGGTTGTGCATGAGTTTGCTTATGTACATAATACTAAATCTTAGCTTAATACTGTATGCAAAGCAGGTTATTTTGTCATAGCATTCTGTAATTGAAAACTGACGGTTTCGCTTAAAATGTAACTTTACTAGTTCAAAACCTTGGACCAAGCAGATCATTCCTGGTCTCTTTTTTATGATGGAAGTAAATGAAAATAAAAATATTAAAATAAGCAGTCCAGTTTTTCTTATAAAAGCTGAATGATTGTTATTGCTTTGTTGTTTAGTCCAGATACGCTCCACCAGGTGGCATCATATCTCTGCTTACTGCAAGCCCTACGTGAAGGAGAAAATACAAGTTATGAAAAATATTTTCTGCTTGAACTACTGGTAAATTAAAGTTATTCTTGCTTAAATAAATTCTTTGAGGTTTGTTTGTCTCCGTTTTGGGAGGTATGTCTCTTCATGACAGGCTGGCGAGTGGTGGTAGATTTTCTCTTCTAACTATAGCTTTTTGGGTTATTTCAGATGGTCATTCAGTGACTGACCTGGGGATGGGCAGACCGTGTAAATAAGTTGTGGTAGGAAGGAAAAGTCCAAAAGGTTGTAGCATCCATAAAAATACCATATGCTTATCGTTATCAGTATTATTTCAGCTTCTATCCTGCCTTTCTACTCCTATGTTTAATGAACACACTTACTAGAACAGAATATAAAAAGTGAAGTTAAAATCTCAGTAGTACAAAGAATTGTCAGAATTATTTGAAAAATGTAGAAGCAATAGAATCCTAGTTCAGTGTATGTTTCAAGTGTAAGAAATTAATGTATGTTTCAAGTGAAAGAAATAATTCACCCAGCACAATTCAAATATGGGAATCATGTTCACAGGATATAGCTACAAGTTTGGACAGCTTTTAATTATTGGCTACCTTCATTTTCAAAGGCAGCATGCACTGGGAGAGGACAATTTGTTAACCATTTTGGAAACAAGATGTTTGAATAGATAGTGATTTGATAATGCTCTTCTTATATATTTAAAGATACACAAGCTAATATGTAGACAAGCTGCCAGTACGCTATAGTTGAATTCACATTTTGTATTGCATGGAGGTCATGCTAAGTATTGTGTGACATTGTCACTACAAACAATTTCTTCTATTTGGCGTCAGCCAAATCTCTCTACAATGTTGCTAACGTGTCAGTGGATGTTTGCCATGTTCTCTGAAGCCAGCTCAAGCCCTATTCAGTGCTGTCATTCTTTAGCTTCTTTCAGTGAACTGTTGAGAAATACATTTTTTAAAAGAACCCAGTTCTTTACCGTTTCTTTATAATAAGTGTAGTCAAAACTACTACTAGTAATTTTGGAGATAGTTATCTCCAGTAAACTGCATTGTGTACACATGTGTCTATATTTGATATGTTTATCAAAAATATATTCTGTGTCCAGTCATTCATACAATTTGTATTCCATCTGTCTACTCAAACAATACTCAAAGCAGCTGACAAATGAGAAAACACACACACACACACACTCAAATGTAAAAAAAAAAAAGCATAAATTAAATGTAATATTGAAATAGTTAACAGCTAAAAGCCTGGCAAAACAGATGCATCTTTATAGATTTCTTTCTTTTTAAAGAGTGGTGCCAAATTATCCCCTAGCTTGGGAGTAACATAGGCAACATGCCAGAAAACTGAACCTCTGACAGTAGGAACATCTTCAGAAGAACCTCTTCTACAGAACTTAACATTGGGATAAGTTTATGATAGGCGAGAGAGAGGCTAAATTGTTTAGTGCTTTCAGGTTAATTCCAGCACCTGAACATTTGTTCTGTTAGCAGTTGGCAAACATATAAAGATGTTTTTGTTTCTAGGTCTCTCGGCACGAACGTAGAATTTCTCAAATTCAGCAGCTTAATCAGATGCCTCTGTATCCCACTGAGAAGATCATTTGGGATGAAAATATTGTCCCAACTGAATACTATTCTGGAGAAGGTAAAGTTGCTGGAATAGATTTAGATTTCTAAATACAAGAAGGTACTTTATAAAAATGATTTTAAAAATTAGGCGAAACTCTTTCTGGGTAAGGCATTCCATCCTATTTCCTTTGGTTAGCTGTCTTCCCTAATTTGTTGAGACACTTACCAAGTAGGGCTTTAAAGATTTAAAGCAGGAATAGAACTGGAATATAGTACTAATAATGTGATTGTATCAGTAGATTAATTCTAGTGAAAGACACTTTGTGCTTGAAACAGTTGTAGTATATCTGCATTATTAATATTATTAACTGTTGCATTTCCAATGAGCAAGATGCTTTCAGATAGAAAGATGACAGTTACCTCCTTTTTCCCATGGGGTTTATATTCTAGAAAACATACAAGAGAGACAGCTAACAAGTTGGATAAAAAGGAAGAGTAAACTAGTGAAGAATATTTAATTATTTTTCAGTATTTTTCTGTAACCCAAAGGTCCTTAGAAGAGTTCATTAAGTTTCATTAGCCTATGAAGACCTAGGATTTGTGCTAAAGACCTCTTGGGAAGGAAAGTATGGCTCTCTAAAAATAGGAAGGAATACTTTATTACTGCAATCATGAATTTCATTTATGATGTTATAGTGAAAACAGGAATTCAAATTCAAAGGGTGATGCATGTATGTATTTACTAAAACATACAACTAGAAGAGATTTTTCATATAGTAATTGAAAGCTTATGTCCATAAACACACATACTGTCTACAAAATGTTCCGTTACATGAATTGGCCAGTCTGAATGTTTCAGGGCTGAAATGGGCTATTCCTCAGACCAGACTCTTCTAAGTGTTCTAGAACTGGTTCTACCTTAGATCAGCCTATTCCAGGTTAAACCATTACAGAACACTTGGAACCACTCCATTTCAGTAATTGGAATATTGCATGATGGAACTTTTTACACAGAGAGTAATTATGGGAGAAGAGAATCTGAGAGAGTTTGACTATGACTCTTGGCTCTGTCATCCAGGCCTTTATTCATGTGTTGAGGAACAATTATAGAGTGTTCCTCTTCAATATATGCACTGTGAAGTAAATTTAGGTATCCTAAATCTTGGATAAGAGTAATTTCCCTTTGTGGATAGCATGCTCCTCCTCCAGTAAATGGGCACTGGGTCATTGGAGTATAGACCCAATCCATACAACTTTAACCTTTTTAATTTAAAACTGAGGTTGGGGGTATGCGTAATATTATCTACAAATGCACATTAGAATATGGGTCTAGACTAACTGAGTACAATTCAACTGGGTGCGTTTAGGAGTACAAATACATGTCTTTGTGTAGTGGTGGTGCCTGCAGTCTCCTGACTCAAACACAGATTGCAAGGGAAAGAGGAAATCAATAAATGTAATTTGCTCCACTTCTTTCAGCAAGAGTATTTATTTGACCAGGGTCCTTTTTATGAACAGTATGTATCCTTTCATATGTGGCAAAATAAGTTTAGATCTCTGCCTTGGATTTGTAATCCTCTGAATTTCTACTCAAAAGAAATTGTTCCTCTGAATGCAGTGAGACTTGCTTGCTGGCAAATAGTATAGAGTTGCAGCTTCTGTATTTAATATAAAAATACAGTTCCCAGAAGAAACTAGTGATAAATTCTTCCCCCAACCGTTTTTCTCCTAGGCTGCCTCGCCCTCCCAAAATTGAATTTACAGTTTCTGACACTTCATGATTACCTCCTGAGAAATTTCAACCTCTTTCGTCTGGAGTCTACATATGAAATCAGACAAGACATTGAAGATAGTGTCAGTAGGATGAAACCATGGTAACTTACACAATGATTACATTAAAGATTTGTGCTAAAAAGGACTTCCCATGCCTGTGATGCTTTTTGTTTTGCCTTTGTTCCTTTTTTTTTTTTTAGCTATGAGAAATTAAGTAAATTAGATGAATGTTGGCTGGAGTTCACTCTAGTTATTTTATTCTTATCTTCGCCTAGAAAGCTAACTTTCCAGACCAGATTATGGGAAAGGGTATAATTACTCAACTGGGTGGATTAGTTATGGTGCTGTTTGGATGGAAACATGCTTTGAAGGCCATGGATTCTTTCTAATTCTTTGTTTCTGTAGATATTTCCAAGGAACTTCAATAAAATGTTTGTAATGAGGGGTTTTTCTGTGTCTAAATGCAAGGTTTACAGCCTCTTATTTCTGGTCTTGGTCATTAGGCAATCAGAATATGGTGGTGTTGTCTTTGGTGGATGGGCTCGAATGGCACAGCCCATTGTCTCTTTCACCATCATAGAGGTAGCAAAGCCAAACATAGGAGAAAATTGGCCCATGAGAGTCCGTGCAGATGTTACAGTTAACTTGAACATAAGAGATAACATCAAAGATGAATGGGAAGGTATGTCTGAGTATGTAAATTCAAATCCCTAAGAGGCCATTAATTTATTTCAAATGAATGTTAAACTTGTAAAAAATTATTATACTATATTAAGTAAAATATGTGAATGTTACAAATTTTCAAATGTTAAATATGTTCTGTTCATATTAAGTTATGTTCAGATAGGGAACTGAAATGTTCAAAGTCGTGAATAGATTATTTTTGACTCTTTGATTTTTAACTCTTTCTGTTTGCATATATTAGCAAATCATATACACATTACAAAATAATTGAAATTTTGTAAAACATAGGTAATTTCCAGATTTACAATCCTTTATCAAGAATCAAGGATCAATATCTACCTTCATAAGACTAACGTTTGAGTTATTGTCACAGTAGTGCTATTCAGATGTTATTTCTCTAAGTCACAGAATAGCTTATGTCTATCTCCACTTTTTATACTTGTTCCTACTTTCCTGTGTTAAATGGGAAGATCAGCTTAATATCTGTTTTCTCATAATCCAGAATTCTGCTTTAACAGGATAACAAGGAAGCCCTCGGGGTAAAGAAGGCAGAACTAGAATATTCAAGAATGATGGGGACAGGACTGATGCCCTCTATATAATTTGGGATTTTCTGTTCAGTTATAATGGCTAATAGGACTGATACGTAGTATTAATTCTGTGTCATGATCCATTGTACTTTCCTGCATCTACCAAAAGGCAAATTAATTAAATAGGAGAATAATATGAACATATTTATTCATTTGCTAGATGGCCATAAACCAAAGAGATATCCAAAATCAACAGAAACTGTAAAAGAATTGAAGGAAGGCATGCAATACATTTTTTCTCCAAGATAGTGTGATTTCAAACTATGAATACATAAATTAATGGGCATTAATAAAAATTATAATCTTGCTGAACTAACTTGGATTGTAGAAATGAAGGTAATGACAGATGTTTATATAAAAACTGAAAGGAACATTGAGATAACTCTGCTTCTCTGTATTAGAAGGACTTGCAAGCTGTGCTTCCTCGTGATATATATATAATACATATGTGTTGCCCTTGTTAACATGCTCCATATTAAAACTAGATGTAGATATATACATTTTTAGAGGGGGGATTCCTATCAAAATCCAAATTATGTTCTGATGAATTTAAATCCAGATCATCTTTTTGTGAATTTAAATAGATTATCTTGTTGCCACAGAACAAATTTAATGTGATTGTAATATAATGTATTTCATGCTATAGTAGTTATATATTTAATATATTTCTCTCTGGATTTTCCTTAAGAATTCAAGGGAACAAGAAATTTTAAAAAATGAAAAGAACATTATAATGCCAGAGATAACAAATTACAACAAAGTTAAAATCAGCATCCATTGCTGTTTGAATATTTACACTGATTTTTAGCACATAACAGCTTGCCCTAGTAACCTTGAGAAAAAAAGTCTTTGCTATGGGGCAAAGAATTACATACTTTGGGGAGGAGATCTAGGATCTAGATATGAACATCTGTACCAGAAGACTAATGGGAAGGGGAGGAGAAAGAGAAACCATCCCAAGTAATTGATTAGCTGAGAACAGTAAACAAAATTCATAGATTCCTTTGTAAAGCTGAACATTTCTGGCTGAGACCTTTGGTTGGGAAGGGGTCTATAGATTTATATAAATAAAAGCACATTGCTGAAAGCCCAAATACAAAAATAATGTTTTACTGAGTAGCTTCATAAATGTTATTTCAAAACTATTTTGACTTTGTTTCCATGGACTTATGTCACATTCTTTTAAACCACATTTTTATTTAAAAGTATAGAAAATGATTTTTTTTTCGTTACATTCAGGTTTGCGCAAACATGATGTCTGCTTTCTAATTACTGTCCGACCCACACAGCCTTATGGTACCAAGTTTGATAGAAGGCAGCCATTTGTGGAACAAACTGGCCTTGTTTATGTCAGGGGATGTGAAATCCAGGGCATGCTGGATGATAAGGGACGTGTCATTGAAGAGGGTATGATAGCTTCAAACCTGTGGTTGAAATCTTTATTATAGTTGTGCAATTTCATCCCTAACCATGTGGGTGGGTGAGGAAAACTGTAATCATAGTGATGCCATTTAATACATGTTCCCTGTCCAGTAGCAGCAGTCGCACAACCCTTAATGAGGACTTCCAAATAAGCTAAAGAAGTACTCATCCTGAAGGGGTTGATTGATTTTGTCAGCCCAGGCTTTCTTCACTTTGTTTTGTGTTGCTATTGCCATTGGCTGAGTTTTGAATTGGTTGCTTTTATACTTGGGATCAATCTCTGTTTAGTGGAAGGAGAAAAAAATAACAAAAAAATAACTAAATATACTTTCTTAAAGTAAGGGAATATATGGAGGAGCAGAATAAGGCTGTGAAAGAAGTATTACCTTATCATTTGAGGGTATATTGTTCATCATATTCTTGGTGATGTTGAGACTCTGAAACTAATATTTCAAATTCATTATCTCGGCCCGTGCAAACAATGATAGTGAGATATATCTAATGTAGAGGTGTGGGATGTGCAATACTGTTCAGACCAAACAGTGTGGTTTATATTTACAACACTTCTGGAATGGTTGGAACAGCATCATAACATTTCTGAGATCAGAACAATGCATTTTAACTTGATACATGTCCACAAAATATATCTTTTGACAGGAGTCATTCTGCAAGGAAGGTATTATTCCTTTCAGAAGGCAGATCATTGTTTGTGATAAAGAAAAGGAAGTCATTTTATACAATATTAGAGCTCGGCATGGGGGAAAGAAACAGCAAAAGGTGGAATAAGTTGGAAAGGACTGGCTACAGCCTGAACTGATGTCTCAAATATTTTTACGATTTTTTAAAATTTGTATCTGACCAATTTTAAATTTGATTTGTCTTTCAATTCAAACAGGGCCAGAACCCAAACCAAGACTTAAAGGTGACTCAAGAACATTTAGAGTGTTCTTGGATCCTAATCAATATCAACAAGACATGGCCAGTACTATCCAAAGTGGAACAGAAGATGTGTATGAAACATTTAATATAATAATGAGAAGAAAACCAAAAGAAAACAATTTTAAAGTAAGTTGTAATATGCTTTCTTTGCCCAAGTAGTTTGTATTTCACCCTCCAGAATATTTGTTTAAGCACACGTTAAAAGAAAGCAGTTAGAGTTATTTCCTTGCACTGCAATTGTCTCCGTTCAATCTGTGCTATCAGCCATGGTGAAAACATAACATAGACCTAAATATCCACTTCCAGTTAAATCTGTTTGGTAATGTGATGGTAGAATAATAAATGCTAAGTAAGCATTGTTTAGTGATGGTGAAATTCCCAGACAAATAATCAAGTATATCCCACAGAACCATCTGTTTCCATTGCTAGCATTGTAATAAATATGTTAAAATGGTGTTTGCGTTTTCTAAGCAAAATGGCTTTAAACTGCCTCAAAGGCAAAAAAAAAAAAGATTATTCAGACTTTTATTGTAAATTGTTTTCCTTTGAAGTTCTAAAAGACTATTTGCAATTTAGTTACAGTCAGGCATCAAGATAATGCAGAAATGGCTTGACAGTATCTCTAATTTCACTTTTTTTTTCTCATGTTTAAAATTAAACCAATTGATTATGTTCAACCTCCTTATAGGATAATTGCAACCTAGAGGATTGTTATCCTTTAGTTGCTATATGCCTCCTTACTCACATAAGAGAAAATAAGATAAATTGCTCTCACTAATGGCAAATGTTGAATAATTTATCAAGTAGATAGCAAAAGCATGATTCCTTTGCTGAGCCTTCTGGGAAAAAGTGGTAAAAATCTTATGTTGACTGCTAGGGTAAAGAAGTATGACAACTGTGAAAGCACAGAGGCTCCGTCCTGTCATGATTCAATATCAGTTTACTGCAGTGACCCTCATCCAGTCCTTTACTGCATTCTGGCACTGGCTTAGAGTATGTGCCAGTGGTCCTGAAAATGATAAATTTAAAATGATTCATTTTATTTCACTCCTTGTGCTTTCTGAACACTTTTTTATATAGTTCTCAGAGCAGAAATATCCATAAGATCGAAAGTATTAACAGCGCATATGAAAGTAGAAGCAAAATGTAATCCACAAAAGACTCATTTCATTAAAATTTTATCCATTGATGAAATATGCAGGTATTATATTCTTGGAAGATGTAGCTCTGTGATCTCTTTGAGATTGATAATTTCTGGGGGCATCTTGATTTTAACTCGATTCATTAATGCAATATGCAAGTATAGCAACTTAAAATATGCAAGTACAGAACAATTTCATTAGAACATAAGCAGTGCCCTGTTGGATTGGACCCCTGATTCTTGTAGTCCAGAAGTCTGGTCTCAGAGTAGGCATCCAACTGCACAAGGAAGCCCGCTAGTCTCCTAGCATTTCTGCCTCTGGAGATTCCAAACAGTACGTTTTGTGCCCATTGTATCTCAAGAGCTCAATAATGCAGGCACTCTTCTCCAGTGATTCTAAAGCAATTGTTTAATTTTCCCTTAATTTCTACTTTATTAGTATGAAGTCTCAGCTTTTAATTGCTTTCCCTATTTTTTGTCTCCCCTAAAAGATTGTTTATTTTGTATTGCCATTGACTCCAGCAACTCTTATCTTGTATATAGATATTTGTATTTCTTGATTCAGGTCTCTTTCCTTAGAACCAATTATTTTTAAAAAATGTACTCCCTTGATCTTCAGTCATTCTAGAACACAATTTTCCTGTATCATACTGTCTTTGCATTTTTCCTGCAAAGATCAATATGGTTCTGAGCATTTAGGAGGGTTATTCCATGTCTAAAATGGTCTTTTAACAATCAAGCAGCATTTAAAGCTGAAGGACTGTGGTTTTTTTCCAATAGGATAACATTTCCAGTCAGAAATGAGACAGGAAAGAAACGGAAAGAGAGTGATGAAGAAAGTACCGAAAGCTCTAAAATATTAATTGTTGACCCACATGTCATCCCTAACAGAGGGCCTTACCCATATAATCAACCCAAGCGGTAATATTGCTTTTTGTGAAAGAATATACATGACAGTGGAGTGGTTGAGTCAAGCAGAGGGCATGTTTGTTAGAGTAATGCTGTCCTTAAACAATTTAAAAACAAGGACTCGTGTTTACATGGTCTGGAGTTACCCTTGTAATATGATTTAAGATGTCATTATTTAATTGCAGTAAATCTGCTGATGCAGAGTCACTTTGTTTTGCTTTGTACAACTTTAATATTTGTGATAGTGTTATATTGTTTATTGCTCTAGATATTTTAGTGAAGTAATTTTATTGGTATGTGAACTCATGTATGCTAAAATGACATTTAGCAATAAATACTCAATCTGTTCAAGCTTGATATTAAAATATTTCTTCTGAAATAGATTAAATTAGCTCTTTAAGTCAGTGGGCTTGCAGTACCCTAATTACATATGGGGACCTATAACTTAATTTCAGGAGGATAGTGTAATGACTTGGAGTAATATTATATTAGTTCTTAAAGTAGGAATTCATTTCTCTT